GGGTCTGTCTCAAAAATAAATAAATAAATAAATAAATAAAAATAAATAAGAATAAAAATTGTCCAGTGTGTGGTGCATTGTGAGAGCAGCAGAAAGTGACTAAGATTATGGAGTAAGCTGTATTTACTTTCTGAATTCTAATACAAATACACATTTTAAAGTTTCCAACTTTGTGATTAGTATTTTATCCATTCAACATCCATTTCAAATACCTACATAATTCCTTTTCTTCAATTCATCTTTCTGCAGATCCAATTTTTTATTGGAAAGAAGTGCATTGTCTTTAAAAGATACTTGAATTTTACTTTTTTTAGTTAGAGTAATAACTAATTTTATACATTAGAAAGAATTATTGAAATTGAATAATTCTAATATTTTGAAATTTTATCATTTTGCCATCATATTAAAAGAATCATTTCACTTAATATTGACTTCCAATTTAGTTTCAATTGACTTCCAATTTAGTTCCAATAGCCCTTAGAACACTACTTTCTATAGTTATTAGAAATAGTCATAGTAATACATATTTAGGTTTTATACATATGTATGTGCATATGTATTTATATCAGATAGAGTAAATTTTAGCTACTTCTAATATTTTGTGTAATTTATCTTTATATTTTTATTATGCCTTTGTATAAGCCAAGACTATCTACTAAAATTAAAGGTTAGAACAGTAAAACACCATATTAATACATGTAAGAAAGTACACAACATACAGTCAGTTACTTGTATATCACAATGGCATAGAAGAGAATATAATATATAATTATATATATTATAATGGAGTTGAAAACTTCCTATCTCATTACAACCTAGTAATTATAGCAGAATGCAATATCCAGGTATCTGTGGTGATGTTGCTATATACAAATCTACCATGCAGACAGTCACATGAAAGTAACATACACTTATGTACATATACACTATGGGATTATGATAAAAACAACTATGTTGCTTCCAGCTGATATATGTGTTTATGATATTATATTTATTATCATTATTTAATAGGGTACTCTATCTATTTATAAAAAACAAAAGTAAACTGTCAAATAACAACAGGGAGATATTTCAGGGGATGTCCCAGAAGAAGGCATTGTTATCATGGGAGATGGCAGTTCCATATATGGTGTTGGCCCTGAGGACTTTCCATGGGACTACATATAGAGGTGGAAGGCACTGAGACCCATTATTCTGACTCTGTGTAACCTAGGCTAAGATGTTTTTCTTTGTCTCAGTTTTTAACAAAAAAATTTTAAAAATAGAAAAAGGTTTATAGAGCAAGGATATAAAGAATGTGTATTTGTACAGTTGTACAATGTTTGTGTTTTAAGCTAATTTTTATTACAAAGCATCAAAAAGTTTAAACAGTTAAAAAGCTTTTGAAATTAAAAATTCTGTTAAACTAAGATTAACTTATTACTGCAGAATGAACAATCTTTTTATAAATTTATTGTAGTTTATGCTTACAGTGTTTATAAAGACTGTAACAGTACACTATAATCTACTACGCCTTCACATCACTCACTATTTCCTCACTGACTCATCCAGTGAGACTTTTGTTCATGCAAGCTCCATTCTTTATACATTTTTTAATCTTTTATGCCATATTTTTGCTGGCCTTTTTATGTTTAAATATGTGTAACACACAAATATGTGTATTAATTAAACATTGTGTCATAATTGGTTACATTATTCAGAATAGTGGTATGTATCCCTGCCCCAAAGTGAGGCATGAATATATAATGTTATGTAATTGAAAATATCAAATGGCTGTTGGCAAAAATAATAGACATCAGTACCTCAAATTTAAAAGGAAGACATTAGTATGTGTTCTATTATTTGTAGTTTTAATGAGGATATTGTTTTAGTTTTATAATGTGACCGATAGAAAGAATTATTAATTTAGTTATTGAAATGTAAAAAAATATATAAATAAACTTATACCTAGTGATAATACATAAAATATGGAAATAAGAAAATATGTATCATATTATTAATCTACTTCATGAGAAGATATTAAAATATAATTAACAGGGGCAGAGCATGATGTTGGATGGGAAAGACGTTTAGCTCAGCTCTCCTGGAGCAACAGGTGACAGTGAGTGGGCTAGATCATTCCTGGTGTGGATATTTGGTGTGGGGTGGCATTTCGGGATGTGTAGCAAGGTGGCGGATTAGCGGACTTGGAGTATAATCTGGAGATGTGGAGATGGCCAACACTTGTGTTGTAGCAGTAACTAGCCCTGTTATGGAGGATTACAATTCCCAGTTCATTGGGAAACTAGGTGTTGTGTGGAAAGACTGGTGAAATGTAGACTCCTGAGCAGAACTGGTGGCCAGAGTGAGGTGCCACGTGGAGCGGCACCACCTCAATTAGGTGTCAGGAGAGACTTTCATATGTGAAAGATCCTGGATAGGAAACTGCTATATTTTGAAATTTGGGAGATGGCGGTCACTGCAGGTTTCTTTTCACAGGGGCCAGTCATAGCAATTTGAGTTTCACCTGCAAGCAGTCGTCCTACACTCTGAACAGGCCCAGGATATCCTGCACTTCACGGGAACTGTTTCAGGGAGACTTCCTGAAACCTGACTGTGAAGATTTTTTGAGTTCTGTGGAATCAGCAGTTTGGCAGGGTCTAAGTGCCAAGAGGGTAACCAGGCAACCACCAAGAACCATCTAAGCTAGGAAACACATAAGCCTGGGAACCACTCATGGTGCCACCTGGTGTCCATAAAGTATATTGCAACATAAATACATTCCTACTAAAGTTGATCCAATGGCATATATATAATTTTGTTGTTGTTGTTGCCTTTTTTCCTTGCTCATTTTTTTTTTTTTGCTTTTTTTGAGTTTTTATCCTTTTATCTTTCTTGTAGGAGTTCTTGTTAATTTTTTTAAAATTATTATTATTATTTGATATATATATTTTTTTTCTCTTCTTCCCTTCCTCTTATGGTTACAGAGAGTGCTTACATTTGAGTTTTTTTATTTGTTTGTTTTTGTTTGTTTTTTTGTGTGTCTGTTCATATTTTTTGTTTGTTTGCTTATTCATTTTGTTTCAATGTGTCTTGTGTTTTGCTAAATCCTGGCGTTGGCTATGCTCCGTAACTCTAATTTTTACATATTCAACAAAAGCAAGGGAGAGTGGGGGATGAATGCTGACTGGGCCCAGCTTTCAACAGAAGCTCCCATCATAAGGAGAGATAATGGCCAGAAAGAATCCAAGAAAGCTAAAGGGCAGGAGCCAAGCTGAGAAAAGAGATAATTGCATGTCTTCTCCTCTGAGGCAAGCTGCGACTCCAAGGAAATAAATTTCAGGTTCATAACCCATCCAAACAGGACACATGTCTGTCCCCTTCCCCCAACAGAGTTGCTTGCTTGCTGTGGGATGTCTACTAGCAAGCAGTGAATTGGGGTCCTCTTCTCTCCCCCCCACCCTAGGAGTGAGCTGCAGGAGGCTGGGACTTCTTCTCCAGAGAGTCCCTACCATGAGCCTGGGCATTCTCTTTTCTGGCTTGGAGGTTGAAGAAATATTTTCCCTGCCACTTTGAACTCCCAGTCCACCCTTCCCCCCTTGCCTGATGATCTAAAAGCCCAACCCCTGCAGATATCAGAATGTCCATCGTTTTTTGTTAGGACTGGTCATTGCATGGATTAAGGCAATGCAACTATGTTGTAACAGTGAATCCAGTAGCAGTGCAGAAGGCACAGGGGGGAAGGTGTCTGGCATGGCTCTGAGAAAGTGCAATTCAGCAGCGGGTGGAGGCATGGGTCTCTGTGCAATGGGTGGAGGCTTGGGAACTGCTGAGGCCTGGGACCCAGAGTAGAGACACCTCCCACACAGCATTAGCATTAATACAATGATCCTGCCAGGGTCAAATTTCAGAGAAAACCTCCCCAAGTCTATGGACTGCCAGAGGGAGCTAGACCTCACATTGCAGGGATACCAGAGGGGCAGAGCAGCTAGGGGAGAGGCACAGTCTCTGAGGGAGAAAAATATTTGCTGCTTTGTTAACCTCTGGTTTGGAATGAGCTCAGATGGAACAATCACCAGTTTCCATTGAACCCCTGAGGTAGTCAGGCTTCAGGTCCCCCAGCTGGCTAGTGGCAGAGTGTGGTGGCCTGGCTGACAAGGCATTGACTTCCCTCTGACTCTGGCAGGCCCAAGTCCCTGGCACATTTGTTCCTTGGAGGGAACTGGGCCACAGCCTTGTGGGGCTACCAGTGCCTACATGTGATGGAGGTGTAAGATAGGGAAGGAAGCATCAGCCCCCCTGGACTATTTTGCTGGGCAGGCCTTTCTGACACTATGGAGCACTGGACTGAGTTACATGTTAGCTGCCAGTGGATCCCCACTGTCTAGTTGCTGGGGACCTTCTGAACTTTCTCACTTCATCTGCAATTGTGTTGACCAGGACAATTGTTTTGGAACTCTTGACCTGGGCTGATCACCTGGGGACCCACCAAGGTTGTACCCTGATTGTACTGTTGTGGGAATGTGAGATTCTCCTCTTCCAGTTGTTGCCTGTGGGGTACAAGGTACCTTAGCTGTTTATATAATCCACAGCTGAGATTTCAACCCATAGCCACTGGTTCACTAGGATAGGACAGAGACTAGCTAAATACAGGACAAAGCCACTAGCCCCATCACACCAAGCAGATCCCCAGAGTTTCAGGCTGTAGTACTGTGTAGGACCTTTGTAAAGCTCTAGGGGAAAAGCCACAATCACCAGTTCTAGTTCTTTGGTAAAGGTCTGGTTCATTACAACCCCAGGAACCCTCAATTCAATTTCACCTTACCAGCTTCTCTAGTCAAACGGTGAAAATAATGATGAGGTGGAATCACTGGAAAAACTCTGACAACATGAATAACCAGAGTAGATCAACTCCCCCAAGAAATGACAAAGGAGACAAAACAGAAGTTCCCATTCATAAAGAAATGGCTGAGATGTCAGAAATCAAATTCAGAATTTGGATTGTAAATAAGATTAATAGAATGGAGGTAAAATTGGAATTATATTTTCAAGGAGTAATTCAAAAGTTTTCTCAAGAATTCAATGAATTCAAAGGCAAAATTACCAAAGATTTTGACACAGTGAGGCAAGAACTTGCAGCCCTCAAAGATCTGAGAAATAAAGTAGACTCCCTCAGTAACTCAATGGACCAGGCAGAAGAAAGGATCTCTGATATTGGAGACAAAGCTTTTCAATGATCCCAC